ACCTGCACGTGAACCGGTTCTCGTCTCGGGAGCGGCGCAAGTGCTCTCGGACGCGTTCCACCAATTCCTCGGCCGCCGCTTCTCGACGTCACCCTGCCCGTGCCGCCGCTCGCTCCTCTCGGCAGTGATGGTCATGGACCCGCTGCGTGTGCTCGCGAATCCACTTCGATGACTTGGGTGGAAACGATGACGACCACGACATCGTCGTCGTGGTCAGCCGACGGGGGTGGGTGGGCACAATGGGGCCATGTCATCTGAGGTGGCATAAGCCGTGCATTGTGCTTGTGTTTGACGAAGCCGTCTCGTCTCCCACCCCTGGGCTATACAGCTCCTCCACACAGATACTCAGCCCCACGTGTCCCCTCAGCTGCAGCTCCTCCACAAACTTGGCCTCCTGTTCTACCCCTGGGCTATACAGCTCCTCCACAAACTTGGCCTCCTGTTCTACCCCTGGGCTACAGCTCCTCCACACAGCCACACATTTAAACTATAAACTAAACTATTTTCAATTTTATCAGGTAAGCCTCCCTGAGCTAGATAGCTCTGTTTCAGAAGCAAGCTGGCTATCACAAATGGTAGTTTAACGAAGTGGCCATATCATCGTGTGGAAATTTATGGCAGCCAAATATATCTTCCCCTCTGCTGCAGCTCTTTCGACAACAGTTACACCAAGCCTCCTATAACCTCAGGCTTGCCTCCAACTCCTCTGGGATGGGGGGGGGGGCGAAGGGACGGGCTTCCGCCCAAGCCTGTACTGTAGAGCTCATCATGCCCAGTGTTGAGCCGCTGCAAACGTGACCGTCTTCAAGGCAGCCGGGTGCCAGTGGTGCTGTGCGTGTGTCGGGCATGGCCACAACGACGGACGTGACGCAGGCTCCTTCAAACTCAACGCTCAACTTTGTGTGCGTTTCGTTTATTGTCCATCTCAGTCAACCCATGGCGCCTGGGTCTGTCCCGTAACCTCCTGCCAGCAGACGTTGGACACGTGGCCTTAGAGTGCACACGGCCTGGCACGAGCGCAGTGGTGACGTCTCCGCCGCGTGGTGGCGAATTGGCGGTTATTGTTGTCCTTTGCCCACACCTGCAATTAGCGCGGTTGTCTACTGTGGGGTGCGAAAGAAGTTCAAGGTCCATTCAAGGTCGCGAGTGCTCCATTGTATCCTCGCCCACCCCTCCCCCCCCGTCCACGACTTACGTCACAATGGGCCTCACGGCCCCGCCCTGTGCGTGAAGCGTGCGCCCGTTGCCGTGCCAACGTCGAGGAGGGGATCCATCAAGGGACGCGCTGTTTCAGCACGCAGTGTAATGAATCCGCGACAGAATGAATATTAATTATGTTAATGCGTAGAGGAAGCCAATCGGCGTCGAGGGGCGGTCTAATATGGGCCTTTTTCGATCCACAAATCATCTCTTTAAATCCAGAAATCAAGTGACAAGAATCAATTTACCGATATATTCTTGTTTAATGTGTATTCACAATGCCACAGCTCTATCCATGCTCGATCCATGCTCGATCCATGCTCGATCCATGCTTGTACACGTACAGGTATTCTAAATATCCTGCTACCAGCGCAGCGTGGGCAGACCCTCCATGTGCACCGGTAGTGTCCTTACCATCCCCGCCTTGGCTCGCGATCGTCATCAGTGACACCGTGATATGAATGTTGAATGAATGGAAGGGGGGGGAGCGCTTCTCTCAGACCCCTACCAGGCAACACCCAGCGGCCACACACACATGCCTGTCAATGTCTGTGTCTGTGTGAATATTGCAGGTCGCGTGTATGTGTGTGAGTGTGCGTGTGTGGAGAGCGTCCGTGTAGCGGTTAGCGCGCTGCACGACGGACGAACCGAGCCACCCAGCCCGGGTTTGGTTCCCGCTCGCGGGGCAACACCGGCGAGTATCCTCGTGCGGGGCGTGAACATCGCCACGGGGAGACAAAGGCGGCCGCGCGTGGTGCTGGCCTCCCACCACCTCGCGTGCCGTTCTGGCCTTCACAGACGCTCGCTAACAGCACTTGCCCCTACGGTCTGCAAAAGTCTATAAGGGGGGGGGGGGTATCTTTGTCTTTGTTCCGGTACATTTGTATTGACACGTGCGTGTGTGCGTGTGTTTGAGTGTCCTTTTGCATGTTTGTTTCTGAGTTTACGTTTTGCGTTGCGTGTGTATGTGTCTATACGAGTGGGTGTGTTTGAGTGTGTGAGCGAGTGAGTGTGTTTGAGTGAGTAAGTGTGTTTGAGTGTGAGAGTGAGTGAGTGTGTTTGAGTGAGTGAGTGTGTTTGAGTGTGTGCGAGTGAGTGTGTTTGAGTGTGTGAGTGTTTGAGTAAATGAGTGTGTTTGAGTGAGTGAATGAGTGTGTTTGAGTGAGTGAGTGTGTTTGAGTGTGAGAGTGAGTGAATGTGTTTGAGTGTGCGAGTGAGTGTGTTTGAGTGAGTGTGAGTGTGAGAGTGAGTGAGTGTGTTTGAGTGAGTGAGTGTGTTTGAGTGTGTGCGAGTGAGTGTG